CGCGTGTCATTTGCATGAGTGCAGTCCACTTCTTTTTTTTTTTTTTTCGACGAAACGAAAGGCAATTCACCGTGAGTCAGAGCTATTCAACGTTCAGGTAAAAAAGACCCCCTGGCGGCGATAACTATAATTTAAAGTTCGCGTCGCGAAAAGAGGATCACAAGAGGGCGGGAGTTGAATATAGTGGCTCGGTAATTCTGTGTATAAGAACGACGACGGTGATCCACCACGGAGGCATTGGCATTAAAGGAAGGGGAAGGGAAAAAAAAGTTCGTTTATTTCTATGGAGAAACACCTAGTAAAATTTTTCTGGAGGAAAAAAAATAGTCACCGTGTTCACTTTTCTTCAAATTATCGTGAATTATTCATAAAGAACGATCGATTATAATACCTTCGGGATTTCGATCCTCTGCTCTCCAAAAATTTAATTGAATTTCGTTTTACGATATTTTAAAGCGAATTTTTTTTTGGAATATTTGAATAGCTGTGGAATTATTTGAATGAAAGATCGAAAGATCATTATGAATTCATATTTTACTATGTATAAATGTAATCGTAATTAAAACCACGAAAGTAAATGTGTAATTACATTTCTACTTCGAAAAATTGCGATATTAATTTTGGTCAAAAACATTTTCATATTTTCGATAAAAATTAAAATCCATTATTTTAACAAATTTCATTGTCTAATGTTAAAGAGAGTGAAAAGGAATGAGATATAAATCCAAAACATTTTAGATTAAACGAATTTAAACTGAAATTAAATCTATTCTAAAAAATTATTCTCCATATTTCTTAATTGTTCTTTTATAGTATATAATAAAAAAAATATATATTGATTTTGAAAAATTAGAAATTCATTTTTTTTGTAATTTTGCAAAAATAGAAAATAGAATCTATATTTATTCCGTTTAAATATTTATTGCAATTTTTATAAAATTTCGATGACTCGATCACTCGATGACAATAATAATTAAAGAATTGATTAATAATTGTGAAATATTTGTAATAAATGCAAAATGTACAAATAATCATAACGATGATTTAATTTACGTTTGGGGAAAGCTTAATCCATTCATTTATTTTTATTCCGTTCAGATAATTAATGCAACTTTTATAAAATTTCAATAGCTCGATCGCATTCGATGACAATAATAATTAAAGATTATAAAATATCTATGATCTATGGTTTATGTAAAATGCACGTGTACAAATAATCACAACGACGATTTAATTAATAGGAAAATGAGAAATTTGCAAGCTTTGGACGAGTTTAACCTAATTAACAGATAAATCGCTTGTTTTAAATTAATAAACTTTTGCTTTTCGCTGCATACCGTAAGTAATGTAATTCGGATGAGCATGCCATTCAAATAATCAAATTACTTACTTTGTTACGAATGAAATAATCGAATCTTTTTGTTTCTCTGACACAATCAAATAATTCGAATATCAATAATCACGCTAATTAAAAAAAAAAAACTTATCATTAAATGACGAATATTCGTAATTAATATGCCCCTAAAGGAATAATATAACGTGAAATTTAAAAAAAAAATAATTTATCGTTAATCAATATTTTTCTTTCAAATGAATATCTGTCGCATTCATTATGTAATTAACACTAAGTTTACATTTCTCACCGCAATATTATTTATTGATTTCTGATCCAATTAACGAGGCAAATAAAGAGTGTTCCAAAAATGTTGGAACATCCGTAAACTGGAAATTCTTGAGATAATTTCGAACAACATTTTTCTTTACAAAAACTTTCGTTACGAGTTATTAACAAAAAAATACCGAGCAATCACAGAGCAAGTTGGCACAAGTCCAAGCAACACACGAAGCAATACACGATCGAAGATGTATTGAATATTATATTTTTGATACAATTTGATATATATTTCATATCGATAAAATATTTGTATTCATATATTATGATCAGCCAGTGTTTTTTGCAAAGGAAAATATTATTTGAATCTTCAATTTACGGATGTTTCAACATTTTTGGGACACCTTATATATATACATCCAAATTTATTTTCTTTCTTTTATTTAACGCTTATAGAGGTATATAAGAAATATCAGTAAACTTAGTTAGTTAATATAAAAATTTTGGAATTTTCATACTTCCAAACATTGTAATTTTAAATACGAATTAACGTTTTTCGATGGATGGCTACAATTCCCTTTTTATCCTCTTTTACATCCACTAGCTTTTCAAAGGATGTGGACGCTTCTGGCAAAAACATCTCTTCAATTAAGTGATGTAATTAACCGACGGATAAAGAAGAGAAGGGACAAAGAACATGGAAATGTTTATGTTTACATTTCTCCTTTAAAATTTAGACTTTAAACGAATTAGTTTGATTCTTATCTTGTGAGAAAATTGCTCAAATGTTTCACCTTTTTTTACAGTTTTTCGCGGAAGGTCAAGAAGGACAAACATAATCCCGTCCATTCCGTATGTGGCCAGAGACACCTGCATTGTCATTGTCAAGTGGTGGATCGCATCCTGGACTAACCCTGGAAAACATTATCAAGAGTTTTTACTATTTTAATCTCTAAAAAGAAACCGTCTTAAAATTCTCGTACGAATTTTTAAGAATCCATCGTTTCACATGGACGAATAATAAAGATTATTTTTCGAAGAATAAATTTCGAAAGAAGAAACATTTTCAACATTGAGAAAACAATGATGAACACGAAGGGAACACAATAAATAGATATCTTGATAAAAGTACAAGCGAAATAGAAGGATATGTCCTGTGAGAAGGCATCGAGACGTCTCAAGTTCTTGCTCGGCAAGGCAAGGAGATTTGGTTTGAGCACAGACGAGATTGTCGACTTGCCAGCGGCCAAAAGATTACTGTCCACCTGTGTTACTCCCTTCTCCACCGTATGGACGATCTTGGCCATGCTTGCCTTAATTCTCGGTGGTGGCGCTGTCCTAATCTTCTTCTGCGCTCCCTGCGCCGCCAAGAGCAGAACGTGATCGTCCATAGTCTGCACAAGGTAATCGTTTTTTTTTTTTTTTTTTTTTTATAATTATCACAAACTTCGTATAACAATCGCATCTGTTGATTCTGACAAATTTTCATTATTCTTAATTGACAACAACGCTTAATTGTTCGATATGAATTATCTCGATGTATTATTTCGATCGAAACAAGGAAAGAAAAGAAAAAAATAATAGAGAAAATAGATTATCCAATATGATAAATAAGATAATATTGGAATTAATTAGGGAAAGTTAATATTGATATGGAAAGAGATACAAGAAACGTGTATTGTATATATACACGTCCGTTT